ATGTTGAATAAGTCGTTCAAAGGGGAACAAATGTAAGTATACTACACCACACCACACCACTCCGCACCACACCACACCGCACCACACAACACTACACTACACCACACTACATCACACCACACCACACTACACAACACCACACTACACCACACTACACCACACCTCACCACACCAGACCACACCAGACCACACCACACAACACTACACTACACCACACTACACAACACCACACTACAACACACCACACAACACTACACAACACTACACCACACCACACCACACCACACCACACTACATTACACCACACTACATCACACCACACCACACTACACAACACCACACTACAACACACCACACAACACTACACTACACCACACTACATCACACCACACCACACTACACAACACCACACTACACCACACCACACTACACCACACTACACTAAACCACACCACACCATACCACACCACACCACACCACACTACACTAAACCACACCACACCACACTACACCACACCACACTACACTACACTACACTACACTACACTACACTACACTCTACACCACACTACACTACACTACACTAAACCACACCATACCACACCGCACTAAACTAAACTAAACGAAAAAGTACATTTCTTTGTCACTCCCCTTGACGGTGTCCACTATTGACACCATTTATCGTTTCGCCTCTAGCACCATCCATAAAATGTTCCCCACTTATGTAAGTGTCCCTGCAAGTGGCTCAGCCAAGAAAATACTAGCATTATACAACGGCAGCTACGTGACGTGCGGTTTGAGGATGCGAAGTGATGCTGCCACTGGTGTCGAATGGTGGGAACTTACACAGATTGACCCTAAACCGATATTCGAGGAGAGCGTACTTGAGATGATTACGTTCAACGATCTTGTGCCGCCATTGCATTTGTCGTTCTTYGCAAGCACAGGGTAAGTATGGCAAGTTAATGGATTGCAATCAATGATTGATTCACTAATGAGTGACTATCGATTGATTGAAGAAGTGATTGTTTGATTGATCGATTAATTGGTTGAATTAAATTACGATTGATAAATGGCTAATCAATGATGTATCGTTGAAATCAATGAAAGATTMTTTGKTTGAKTGATAATTTGATYGATTGWWTGTTCKATTGATTGATTRATTGATTGATTGTGTAATTGTTTGATTGGTTGTTTAATTGTTCGATTGAGTGATTGTTARATTGTCTGATGGATGGATGGATTGATCGATTTTTTAATTGATTGTTTTGTCGATTGCTTAATTGTTCGATTGATTGATTGTTCGATTGATTGATTGTTCGATTGATTGATTGTTCGATTGATTGATTGTTCGATTGATTAAGTGTTCGATTGATTAATTGTTCGATTGATTGATTGTTCGATTGCTTGATTCCAGTATAATCGGTTTATACGTGGGTTTTGTTTGGTTGGTTGGTAAATTCGTACGTCTGTTCTTTACGTCGATATCGTACCGAATCATGTTCGATGAGATGCCGAATGTCGATAAAGTCCTCAAATTATGCCTGGATATCTTCATGGTACGGGAGAGCAAGAGTTTTAAGCTGGAGGAAGACCTTTTCGCCAAGTTAATGTTCCTCTACCGGTCACCAGAGACGCTTATCAAATGGACTAAGTACAAACGACATTGACGTCATGATCAGTAAAGTGACGTATTGATTACGTCATATTATTAATGACGCCATAAAAGTGACGTCGTTGTATGTGCTTYCATATTSAGTGATCACCACGTCGCGAGCATTTCACAAAAATCTAGTGACGTCATTATATGATGAAAGTGACGTCATTTTATATGCGATTGATTACGTCATTGTACATGACGTCCCGGAGTCGATTTTTATGATGAATATCGAGACAATTCACGCTGATTGAATTCTCACAAGAAAAGTATATAGAAGACTTTTATAATGTATGGTTAAGCCGCCATAAGGCAAAAATACTTTATAGCATTGAGTTGAGCTATTTCAATGGTTAATTCTAATATAGTGTATTTATGAATSATTCTGACGTCAGAGATGATGACGTCATCAGTGATATGACGTCACTTTTGATAAGCAGATAATGATAATTTATTGGATCTATTAAGGTGGATCATAAGGCGATTTTGGTGGCGTTTGTATAGATATATATATGTATTGATACTGTAACTTGAAACTAATATAGTTGAGACAGTATCAAACTATTTCTTAGAATTCCAGTACACGCGGGAATAATYTCGAATCTATGTGCATATGATAATAAAAACTTTATTTAAATCCTTAATAAAACTTTCWTAARCTATATCATGTGACAAACAATAGATTATCTATCTGCAAATTCATTGTTTATTCTATKGTTTTCTATCCTAGGAACGAGGCTATTCCCRTATTTACTGGAATTTTTTAAAAGAATAATCAATTAAGAATAGATATTTTCATAAAAATGTAGGATATCGGTATTTTATATGAAAATTTTTAATACAAAGAGTAAATGAACAAGGCACAATTTTTTTTTTGATGTACGTACGCTTGCTATTGATTACTACATGTATGGTATCTAAGCAACAACTACCGCTGTGACAATTGAGTGCTGGCGTTAAAATTGTTAAGAGATGCCGCTGAATTTACTGACTTGCAGCTCAGGAAAGGTAATCAAGTGTCAGSCCACTATTTTTCATCTTCGCATGAAAAAACTCTTCAAAGCGTGTGTTTTGTTCCTTGGTAAAGTAGTTTTTCCAATCTCCTATYTGCCCTTTTCTGATAAAGTGAAAGTCTCCAGGTTTTATCCCRAACCACTTGTGGTCAAAGGCTGGTCTAGTGCGCATGGCTTGAAATGTAGTCTGGTCGGCAATGCTCTGAAGTGTGGTGGGATCCAAGTCTTTGTTGACAAATGAAGCGATTCTTGCGATTGTAGTGAGGGAATCCTAGAAAAAAAAAGTTTCAGTTCGTTAAAAAAAATTAAGGAAAGTSCTTGGAAAGGTGTAAGTTGTTAATCCTTCATGTACCCAAAAAAGCAAGAATGACCCTCTTAATGCCGAGAAATTTAAGATACCAAACTCCTCAACTTTGCGAACAAGGCAATTCACATTGATGTCGAAGTTTCTCGTTTTCCACCTTGTCTGAGCACTGGCAACTTGTCGCGCAACGAAAACAGGACATGAATTTGAACAGCAAAATTGCTGCTCAATGATTTGAGGGCTTTTACATTGCAATTTCCCAGCAATTTTCCCAACACTGCTCGCAAGGCTCMTGGGAAAAAAGCTCTTTGATYGTGTTCAAAAAAGGTATTATTGYATTCCGTTTGCATTCAACGAGATTCGATGTTCGAGCATTTCAAGTACCGTTCTCTTGTTTGTAGTTAGTTTGGAGTTGCTCGTCTACTTACTCTCTTCATGTCCTCGTACTTGACGACGAGAACGTTGTCATCTTGTCGATGCTTCCACCATCCAAGCATGTAGTCAAACCAGCTTCCACCAACCACTAAAGACAAACATGCATTTCTTCAGGAAACAAGTTATATAATGATTTTTCGCGTGCGTTTTACATGTTTTACCATTRCGCATGATTTACGTCATTAAAACAGTACGTAAATGCTTGACGTAACATGTTGCATGGTATGAYTTTGCGCAGGGAACAAATATTTTTTATGCSATTATCAACAAGTATTTTAGGCAGCGAATTTTTTTCRCGTGACGATTATGTATTTTACTCAATGAGCAAATGTTTTTAMGCAAAGAAATGTAATTTAYGAAACGAGAATATGTGTTTTACGTAACAAGCAACTGTATYTTACGCAACGAGAAAATATATTTTACGCAACGAGAAAATATATTTTASGTGARATGATCAAATGTATTTTACGCAACGAATAAATATTTTTTTACGAAACGATCAAATGATTTAACGCTATATAGTACGCTAATATTTGTACTTAGGAAATATACTTCGCCGCTATATTAGATATACTTGTGAACGCGCAAACTTTTTATTTATTTATAYGTCTGCKTTTCCATTTACGTACAAGCTACGTCTTACGTRGAARAGRTYAAAGTTACGTATACTTACACTTCCCATCCAAAAACAACTCAAAAAACTCCTGCCAATCGCAGTCGCACTCCAATATACCAAGGCCCTTGTAATGATGAAAGTACGAAACRGCACAATCCTTGGGATTRCGGACTACAAGAATAATCTTAGGCCGATCCTCGTCCGTGTTCCCATTTGGAACATGCTCATAGTGCAGATGAGTTTTGACCAATCGCGGCGAAGGAAGACTTTCAAATGCCTCGTTGACGTCWTCTACCGTGAGCTGATTGGCTGAGTGTGGGTTCATGCAAAGAGTGTCGAGAAATTGCACTTTTTGATCGATTCGCGTCTCGTTGATTTTCGCGTTGTTGTAAATTTGCCATACAATTTCCATCATCCATGTCGTTCCTGTTTGATTAAAAAACGTCAAATAACTTTTATTATCGTGAGACRTACTGAGGAATTAATTGATGATTTTAGACTAAATAAATTTGAGATTAACCAATTATTTTTTTTGAAATTAAATATAAGCTGAATTTCTTTACAAAACTTTAAGTGCACGCAAAGTTCAAGATTTTAGACGTTCAGTTTTCTTTTGAAGCCAAAGCTTTCAAACTTCTAATGGTTTCTAATAGTTTTGAGAAACGCAAATCTTGTTGTGATGCGCGCTTTGTAAATGCAGTAACAGTTGCACTGAAACAGTAGAAAGGTTTTCACGTGTTCCTATTTGCAGCAACCATTCAGTTTCTTTAGTTCTATTTAAAAGACAAGTTTGCTTGTGTGATAATAATAATAACGCTATAACGCTGTGTCTATATGGCCGGTTACCCGTCAAGGTCTTGAAAATGCTAAATGGCCGGCAGCCCATAAAATGTGTTTTTTCCATCCTTTATTATCTAAACGAGCTTCCAAACTCCAAAATAAAACTCTATGAGTAAAATGAGCGTGTTTAAAAAACCTACATAAACGTCGCGCCGAAATTCATTGCACTTAAAGACATTGTGCGAACTTGAACCGACTGCCGGCCACGCAACAACGAAATCCTAAATGGCCGGMAGCCCATAAAATAACAGATTTTTCTTTTATYATTCTTATATCTGTTATCTCGGCTCAAGTTCGCACAATGTCTCTAAGTGCAACGAATTTCGGCGCGACGTTTATGTAAGTTTTAACACACTCATTTTACTCGTAGAGTTTTATTTTGGAGTTTGGAAGCTCGTTTAGATAATAAGAGAGGGAAAAAACACATTTTATGGGCTGCCGGCCATTTAGCATTTTCAAGACCTTGACCGGTAACCGGCCATATAGACACAGCGT